GGGAGTGTGTGTGAGGTGGTGTAATGTTGTCCCGTTTCAGGCGGCAGGTCAGGGGATTAGCCGGGAGGATTCGGCAGCTCAGCCGGGGGCTGAGCGTCTGCAGGCAGCCTTCCGCCCGCGCCGAAATTCACAGCCCTCCCGGGCCGACGGGGTGCTCCTTGGATCGGGCCCCGCTCCCCGCTTTTCCTGTACCTGGACTGTCCGGGTTAGGAGGGTGAGAGTATTGGGTGGGCGAGGGCAGTACATCTGGCGGGTGGCGATTGAGGGACAGCGTGGGTTGATTGGGGGGTCAATGGGCGCGCGGGCGGCGCTTCGTGGTCCTGGGCGAGCAGGGGAAGTGGTTAGGAGTCTGGGCCCAGAGATGAGGATTGTCGAGATGTCATGCGAGAGCGGTGGGTGGGCGAAAGTAGCGCGGCTGGAGAGTGGTGTCCGAGGGACAATGGTGAGTTGTCAGTTGGGGCGCGAGACGCGCGGGAATCATACTGTGTAGGGTGCTGATTGTGAGCTGAGTGCATGGGTGTATGGGGTTCCGAAATTTGTGGCGTCGAGGTTTGTGCATTGGTGGCTGGCGTAGCGGTCAGAGGTTCGCCTTCGGGCCGGTTGGCTGCGGGTTCGAGGCCGGGCGGGGGGGGAGGGGGGGGGCACACCTCACCCTCACCCCTCACCATCCTCAAATCCTCGAATCATCGAGATCATCGAGAGCGTCGTGAGCGTTGATTCTGTGCTGATTTTTGCGCGCGAGCGTCGCGATTTTTGGTCTGGTTGGTCCGTCGTGGCCGGTGCGCGGGAAACTCGCCGAAAACCCGCGCAGCCGGCCGATTGTACGACCGAGGTCGCTGAGCCTTGGCGACGCGGCGCGCGCGTCGCCAAGGAGTTCATAAAATGTCAGAGTTTTTTTGAGATCGCCCCCGAGATCGCCCGAGATTGGCCGAGGTGACCCGAGGTGACCCGAGAGTAGGTGGGATTGCCCGACCAAGGCGCTCGGCTGCCCCGAGGTTGCGGCCGGTAACGCGTCGCGCATGTAGCGCGGCCGCGACTCGAGGGTTTGCCACGGGGTGGCGTGTTCTGTACGACACGTGCTTTCGACCAAGTGTGGTCCGTGGGTGTGTGCGTCGTTGACCAGCTGTGTGAGCTGCGTCTCGCGAGCCTGGCTTGTGTGCGTCTTGCTCTTGGTGTGCGTGTCGTCGTCAGCGCAACGAGGATGGAGAGCCCGGAGGAGCTCTCGGCTAGGGCGGTTAGCTCCGCCGTGTTGTTGGTATGCTTTCGCGCGCCGAGGTAGGCTGGGTGCGCCGCCGAAGTGACAACTGTAGCCCTCGCTCGTCAGCGCGACGCGGGAGGGCGCCCTCCTCGCCGATGGCGAGCGTCACCCGACCCCCGATGAGTTTGAGTATTGCATAGACCACCCTGCTTTCCCTAGGTCTTCCGACCCGTCTGTGTATGCCTTTTTTATGACAAAACACAGCAAGCGGCACAAGCGGGGCACAAACCGACAATCCATACGGCTCTACGCCACAGGGTCACAGGCAAGTGATGGAGACGCGTGGAGTGGTATGTGAGCCAGGCTGCACATGCACAGCTAGCTGTGTCTCGCGCCTCATGGCGACAACCTTGCTTGGAGGCGCCCCTACTCCTCTAATCTAAAACAAACTCACGCCCAACGCGATACACACGCCAGGCAAAACCAACTCTGCAATGTCCCTAAATGCCGCCCCGACGTGTCGAGCTCTACGCACCTGCGGACTCGCGCACCGCAACGAAGGCTCCGTCCAAACTGGACTCCCCTTGGCTTCAAGGTTCTCCGACCACGCTCTCGCTCCTAGGCCCCTCCCGCCCTCCCCTCCCCGGCCCTGCCAACATTTTGAACTAGCGTACTCCTCAGTAGTTGAGGAGCTGAGGCTCGAGCTAATGACCAGACCGCTTGCGCTCCCCAGGGAGGAATTGCCTCTATACATCACTTGCCGTCGATCGTGCAACTGGGGTTCAGGGTGGTTCCCCGGCAAGTGATGCTGATCTGGCGGTCCACGCCGGGCTTGAAGGTCACTTCCGGCGTCGTCGTGTAATGGCCCAATCCCCCAACGGGAACGACCCGGGCGCGGTATGTTCCCGGACCCGGGGGCGGTATGATCTTGTTGAGGTCCATGCACACCTTCTTATGAAAGACAGGATATTGAGCCCAGGGTCCAACCACATTGCCGGACGAATTCTCGAAAGCCCAGCGTAGGGAGTACCAGGCCTGAGACAGGCAACAGGGGTCGGGCAAGAGAGCGAGGGGGGCGCGCGGGGCCGCCGGCGATTGGAGTCAGCTCACGTGGTTCGTGATGCAGATCGAGCTCGCCTCCGGAAGTGCGGGAGGGGGTTGCGAATAGAAGCCAATCGGACAAATCTTCTCCACCCATTCGGTGCCATCAAGCTGCGTGCGTTTGATGTCGCTCCTGATGCCTGTTGAGCGGCGATTGGCGCCGGCCCCCTTGATGAATGCTGGACCAGATGTGTATTCATCGCATTGGAGGCATTGGTCTCGCGCAAAATCGCCAGAGTTCTTCGTCTTTATGAACTTCGTAAGGCAGTGCCACATACAGAGCATCTTGTCGTTGACAATGTTGTCGACCCATGTTTGCATACACGACGGTTTATTGGCCGGGTCCTCCCACGCTTCCGCACTGTCCTCGGTGAAGTCGATCCCCTTTTCCCGGAGGCATTTGATCAAGGAGGCGGAATCCGGCGGGAATCTTGGAAAGTCGAGGAGTCCCAGGCTCCATTTCGCCGAGCAGTCGGTCATGTGACTCGTAATGGTGGTCTTGGTCTTGTCCATGACCGCCATGTCGTGGAATGTCGAGCACGAGCTGCACTTCCCGCAGTGGAGGACCTTCGAGCCATCGCTCTCGATCTCAGCCTTCGCCTTCTGACACTCGGAATGCTCCTGTTCGGCATCTGCTTGCCCGCACTTTGCCATCACCTCGCGCTTGCTCACACTCTTGGGGAATTTCTCGTTGTTGCCGAGTATGCACAGGTACTCGGTCGAGTACTCGTCAGCCCAGTAGTCCGGGTCGAACGGTTTGGCGTATTTGTACGTAATCGAGCTGCACACAGGCTGGCCAAGAATCGTCGTTGGCGTGCAGTTAGTGATAGGAGAGACGCAGCCTGCCGCGAAGCATTGCGCATTTGGCAGCCACGAGGGTGGCACGGTAGGTGGACCCTTCTTTGGGTGGTCGGTGGTCATGTACGGCACGCGCGGCAGTGCGGTTCCTTGCCTATTGCAACGGCACCATCGAGGGCTCAACCCACCTGAGCCTGCTGTGCCCGGGCCTGGTGTGCCCTCGATGGATCGGTCGAAGAAGCCGTGATACCAACGGCACTGGTTGCCGCAATAGATCGAGCTAGTGCCTGCCTCAATCGCGGACAACATCTCTGTGTTCATCCGCTCGATGGGGATCGGCAATAAGTTGTCCACATCGGACGGCCCAAGCTCTACGTCAGTGGTATTTGTGTAAGACTCTGAAGTGGCAGGGCAAGTCTCGTGGCAGAAGCTCAGCACAACCTCGACGCACGCCCCGTCGCATACTGGGCTCGCCTGGCACAAGCCAAACTCTTTCGCTTGCCGGCAAGTCAGGATGAAGGCCTCGCCAGGTCGGCTTGTTAAGGCGGCCTTGATTTCTTCGTCCGAAGTCGGAGGCGAGAAGGGCGGAGAGGAGGGCGGAGGGGAGGGCGGCGTCGGATCTGAGCCACACAGGCCAGCCCCGCAAACGCCAGCGACGATGCTGACTGCGAGCACGATGGTGGCGAGCACGATGATGGCGAGCCCCATCCTCCGTACCACCCCGCTGGTTTGTTTGGCTTGCTCCTGAACCTCTGAACGCTCCATGGGTTGCGAGGCCGGCGGCCGCGGACCAACGTGCAAAGGGGAGAACGAAAAACGGCGGAAAAAAAATCGGGGGCGAACGTGCACACATTGGCTCCTTCGACACGGCGGTGGAGGCGGCGGTGGCGTACGCGCGCGCGGTCGGCGAGTACCAGCCTCCGGCGGTGGCGACAGAGGCGGAGGGCTTGCGCTTACACCTCTCGAGCAACAGCAGCACCGGCTACTCAGGCGTGCGCAAGCACTCCTTCTCTAGCCGCTTCGAGGCGCGGGCAGGGTGGACGGCAAGGATGTCTACATCGGCTGCTTTGGC